CAAGGCCAGGTACAGAGAAGATGCTCAGTGGACCTTGATAGCCCTCAGGACTGCTGCATAGTTCTTGCCACCATGGAGGAGATGTGATTCAGGTGCATAAAACACAAAAGGGGTCTACCTTTTTCTCAAGAAGATACGCACTCAGATCCTGTTGCCTTGGTTCAGGGTCTGGGGACACAGTTCTGGGGATATTTGAGAGCAAATCTGCTCTGCTTGCAGCAGTTTTGTAAGGGAATTGCTCGCTTCCTGGTGACGAAATGCACTGTAATTAGAAATGCAGGTTAATGTGTCACCCTCCACGTTAGACTGACATTTCCAAATGTGCATCTGTCCTCTCAGGGAAGCACCAGTACAGCCAGCATTCATCAACAGCACACTGTGTGAAGGACTAAGTGACTGGTCAGCTCAAAAAGCCAGCTCGCCAGGGCTTGCTCGCACATGTCAAGTCAGTCCCTGTCTCCACTCGCAGCTGCCACTGCAGTGGCCTGAGATGGCAGCTTGGTGCTCAGAGATAGCTGGCAAGGCTGCGGGGGAGACCAGTGGGACGTGTGATGTCTGTCAGCTCCTGGCCATATCTTGAAAGACATTTTTTCTTTCCCCCTCTGCTTTCTATTTGGCTTTAGAAGCAGGGTGCTACCTTCTTTAATGGTTTACTAGATCACTTGGACAATTCTGTTATACAACTGTTTTACATTTTTGCTTTTGCAATTTGACTCCCTAAAGGATTGCTGTCTTGAAGCTAGAGCCGGGAGCCAAGAGTCTGAGCCATACCCGAGAAGCAGTACTCAGCAATAGCTGGGAGATGCCGCACTGTCTAGATGTAATGTATCTCCTGCTGTTGTGCAGGTGTGGCACAGGAACTTCCCATGGCACTTACAAAGAAGTGTCACAGTGATAATTCTGGCCAGATTGCTCACACTGCAAGAGGCTGTAATGTCCATAGCTGCAGCTGTGTCATTAAAAATTACACAAGTAGTGCACTTGCTTTGTGTATTCAGGAAGCCAGTAACAATGAGCTCTTTACCCTCTAATAAAGAACTTTACAAAATGATGAGTTCTCTCAGCATAAGGATGGGAAGTCTCAAATTTCTTGCCAGCAGTGTCAGGTATGTCAGGGAGTGTGCATGTATATACAGTGCATTTCTAGAGATGCTGGCTGCAGTTGGAGAGTTCAGTCTTTTGGTGAGGTTATGCTCCCTCTCCACCATGTGATAAAGAGGAGGAGCAAAAGCAGCTTCTCAGTAAAATAAGATGTGAGAGACCAGTGGGTCACAATGACCAAGTGAGTTAAAAATCCATGATAGAAGGGGACAAGCCAATTTGCACAAATTGCATAGAGCAGCTAAGTCCATGCACACACCTCTGTTGATATGCTCTGTTCTCAGGCTTCTGCAAAGAATAAGCTCAGTTCATAGAATCATAGAATACGAGGTTGGAAGCAGCCTCCAGGATCATCTGGTCCAATCTTTCTAGGCAAGAATGACCTAGACTAGATGTTCCTACATCCTGTCCAGCCAAATTTTTAAAACGTCCAGTGTTTGGGAATCCACCATGTCCCTGAGGAGATTATTCCAATGGCTGATTGTTCTCATTGTGAAAAATTTTCCTCTTGTGCCCAGTTGGAATCTCCCCAGGTCTAACTTGTGCCCATTACCCCTTATCTTTTTCATGTGACTCCTTGTAAAAAGGGAGCCTCCATCTTCTTTGTAGTCACCCTTTAAATACTGAAACATGGTGATAAGGTTTCCTCTGAGCCTTCTTTTCTCAAGGCTGAACAGATCCAGCTCTCTCTCTCTCAGACTTGCCTCACATGGCAGGCTTCCCAGTCCTTTGATCATCTTTGTGGTCCTCCTCTGGACCCTTTCCAGCATGTCCACGTCTTTTTTGTGTAGTGGGGACCAAAACTGAGCACAGTATTCCAATTGCTAGATCTCCAGTAGCTTTCAATGTATTTATAAAATGAGGAACTGCTAAATGCTAGCTGTAAATTCTCCCTAGAAAGCTGCATTTTAGAAAGTATAGCAGAAAATAGCTTGGTGGCGAAGAACAGTGTAGGCTAAAGATCAAAACAAATGTCCTAGCCACTGGCGTTTCCTGTCCTGCAGCTAGTTTTGTTGTGTAACTGGGCTGAACACACACTGCAGCCACAATTTTAGCAGGAACCTTCATGGTGCAATCTCAGCGGGGATTTTGGCTGCAGCAATGTAAGCTGTCCTGTACTGTTGCAAATTGGAAGGCAGGCTTTGCTGACCTGAGCAACTGGCTCAGACTTCCAGTAGGTGCTTCGAAAAGGCAGTGCTGTAAAATAAATGATCAGAGTATCATTCGTGCCTCCAGTCCAGAGCTTTTTCAAAGCAAGCCCTTTGAATTCTAAGCAGTGAAGTCTGCTTCTGAAGCTATGCATGTCCCTCGCTTCCCCTATGCCGAGCCTTCTTTCTTCATTAGCATTCAAAGCCTAGGGATAGTTATTCCCTGTTTGATTACATCTTTGGTGAACCACTGAAAAGTAGCAGTGTTGCTGTTCAGTGATTCCAAGATGTGAAAAGAAGAGAAAATGTTTCATTCCAATTAGCTAATCACAGTGGCAGTTGGGCTGTGGGTGTGCAATAGTCCTGTTTCTCAGGGAAGGGCTTCAGTTAAGAAGTCAGCTTGTGGTTTATTTCATCTCAAGATCGAAGTAATTTTTTCCCCTTCACACAGCCAGATGTTGAATTTACACTGTTTTAAGGTCAAACATGTGAAGTCGTCTTGACATGAACAAGAACGATAGTTGTCACTGGCGTGCTGGCAGGTTGTATGGCCAGCCTGGAGTGTTCTCCTTGGCCTGCAAACAGCTCATGTGACCTGTCTGTGTGGCGATGGATGTTATTTTCAGAAGATTGTTTTTCAGAGCAAGCTCAGTTGTCTGACCACAGATAAAGAAACCACTTGGAGTCCAAAGGCACTGAAAAACCAACAATAAAATACATGTCTATCAAAAAGTTAATTGAAGTACGTCTGTCACCCACCACCTTACCCACAGCACCTTCCTGCACCCCTCAGCACTCCCTTCCATCAGCAGCCTTCATGTACTGGTTGCTGCAAGGGAGGACCGCTAGGAGGAGGAGAGCTCTGGAAACCCATCAGGCTCTTTGCTGTTAATGGGCTACACGGTGGCTGCCTTACTTACTCATCAGTGTCCTCATAGTCCTGGAAGAGGAAGGAAAAAGATTTTCAGGTATATAGTCATGTGGGTTTTTTCATTAGGAGGACATGGAGTCTCCTTGAGAAACCTTAAAAGGTAACAATACAGATGAACTGGTTGCAATAATCATAATAAATCAACCAAATCCTTAATTTCTCCTAGATGAAGTATTTGAAAGAAGAGCTGATATTGAAAATCCTTATTCACACCAAGGAATAGAAACTTTTTGACTACCATATCCATTACATGCATTATTTTCCCTCTCCTTGTCTTAATGCATACTTGGCTCATTCTGTCCTGAATAAATAAAGCAAATGACCCACAGCTGGGTGTGAAATGTCAAGGCAGTGCTGTAGGTGAGAAGTATGAAGATATGCCCTCCCTTGTGTTTTTCTGCAGCAAGGAAGGGTGACAGTTGCTAAATTGCATTATTTGAGCATTTCTATTGCAAAATCTTGTGCCACCCTTCAGCTAGATAGTGCTACACAAATGAGAACTGTCAGGTCTAAAAGCAAGTATGGAAATTAACCAGTAAAAATTGTTCTATACCAGGTTCTAGCTCAAAGGATACCTTTATGCTGTGTTGTAGGAAACCCAGTGGCAGTTATGCCCCTCTTAAGACTATACTGAATAGTGCAAGAAAGCTGAATTAAGCAGTTCTTCTGTGTATAGACAGGTCATCACTAATTACCCACGATGGCGAAGATAAGGGAATTCTGCTTGGCTTGTTAACACTGTGAAATAACCTATGCAACTTCAGCCTGGTTTGGCTGTTCTAAAGTTTCATGTGCAGTGTCTTTAGGGCAGGAGAGAATATTTCACATTGTGTAAATCAGTACAAATAAAATTGCTCATTAACTCTATAAAAGTGCTTCCCTGGGCAAAGTCTAAGAGAAACACCCAGGGTGCCTGTTTTTCTCTTGAGTTCCTTTAGTGTGTTCTCAGTCATTATTTGGTCAAAGTATTTTGATTTTGTTTTGTTGGTGTTTGGGGTAATATCTATTGCAAATCCAGGGACAATTAGAAGAAGAACTGATTGTTAAGGGATTATCAGCAGGAAAGCAAAACTAAGCAAGGAAATAGGCAGGAAAAGGGCAGGCATTAAGTTCTGCCACAATGAAACACCACTTTGTAAGTTTGAAGCTGCACATAGTAAGTGCTCTCATAGCAAACTGGAAACAGCAGTTTGACTTGCTAGGAGAAGAAAAGAGCCTATGAAAGGGACTCATCTAACATAACTTTATGTATATGTTATAGCCATCCACATCTGATCTAGTTGTATAACCACCCTGCATAGTCACCAGAAATACAGGCTTTTTCAGGATGTTAACAGGTTGGCTTACTTTCAGTATATATATCTTCAGTGGAGATGAAATGTGCCCAAGTATCAGCTCTCCTCTGTGAACAGGAAGGGAGTTCAAGATCTGTGAGTGGTAAAATGAAACCTAATCTGTGGGACGATTTCTGGTGTTTGTTTCTTCCTTCTTGAGACATCCCAGTAGTTTCAGCCTGGCTAGACACCTGCTTATAATCTGGGGGCTTCAGAGAGTAACACTGATTACTAAATAGTGTGTGCCAGTTTGGGGGGTGAGGGCCATCTCTTTGTTTTGTGGTCGTACAGCCCCAGGCACAGCAGGGTCCTGCCCCAGGATGGATCTCCTGTACACTGCCACAACACAGATAATCAATAATAGCAGACTTAATTAGAACTTTGATCGGTCTCTCTTCCTTCTAATTCGCTGTGTTTTAAATGCATGTGATGTCTAAACGAGGTTTGATAACAATTCTCTGTTTCTCATTTCCTTCCATCCCATAGGAGCACATTTACAAGCTGATGAAGAGTGACAGCTATGCGCGCTTCCTCCGTTCAAACGCTTACCAGGATTTATTGCTGGCAAAGAAGAAGGTATCTGTTGGAAAGGACGTGCTTGCATCTCTTAACACTTCTTGATTCTTGCCTGCTGCTTGCTGATAGTGTGAAAATGAAAATATTGTTTATTTCTTTTTTTTTTTTCTTTATTTAAGAAAGAAATGAGCACTTTTTGTTTTCTTCACTGGGGGCACAGGGTACAGCGTCTGTATGTACAACCTCAATGTGAGTTTTGGGGAAAACATGGTGACCCAAGGTATAAATATGGAAAATGTTTGTCTTGCACAGCTGTTGCCCAAACTCAGTGCAGGCAATTCAAATTGTATTGCCTTTTCCTCATGACAAAGATGGTGTCTGGTATGAGAAGCAGAACCCAGCAATTATTCATTACTGGTCCAAATTTCACCCATTCTGGTTCTCACATCCTTAGCCTCACCATGTGATCTTCCCTTTGGATGCCTTAACTATAGACCCCTGAAGTGATTCCCATGCTCCTTTTCTCCCTTTCCTTTGCTTTTGGCTCCCCAGAGATATTTCCTTTTCCTTGGAGATGAGAACTCCCATGCAGTAATAGAGAAATCCAGCCACATTGTCTTACAGAAGAACTGAGTTTGAGCTCTTCTTAGCCTGTTTGGTTTCTTCATGTGCTCTGCCAACACCATGTTTCTGCCAGGAACCCCCAGGTCAAGGTAGGAAGGGAGTGGTTAGATAGTTACGTCAGCTCCTGTCAAAGTGTCCCTTCTTTCTGAAGGAGCTGGGAGATAAGCTACTTGATCTCTGCAATTGTGGCTGTGTTCAAATGCTTTCTGCACCTCCTGACTTATTCCCATTAGTTTGTGTGTCCTTCTGTGTGCATGTGCATGCATGTACATGTGTACATGTCCCACTTACGTTTGGCTTCCATGACTGTACACAAACTGACTGCCGACTCCTGCAGCCTGAGTGTGTGGTTTCCCATCAACATCTTCCCTGCTGTTTTTCTGTTGCATTCTCTGTGTGCTGCCAAATTACATTGCATCGGCACAATACAATGAAATCCCAGTGGTATTTTTGTCCTGATTGTCATTGTGTGCCCTAAAAGCATGCATATGGTAACAAAAGGAGACAAACCCCCCTCTTTGCTGTGCATGGGACTACTGGCAGGTGGATTAAGGGAATGTAATGAGGTCAGCCATTGATCATCTGTTTCAAAATCTCTGGTTTGAGACAGCATAAACCAGTGCTGCTTACATTTGGAAACGTTAGATCTGGCTTAGAGTTCAGAGGCTGTGGGGAAAGAAGGAGGTGCAAGGCAAAGCCCTTTGATGGTAAAAAGCATAAAAACCTTTGCCATTTTCCTGTCTCTATCAGTTAATTGTTCCCCTTTCCCCAAAACTCCATTGAGCCCATGAAGGTTCATGTGCCTAAAATCAAGAGAGTTTTCTTCTCCCAGCTGAGCACATTCAAACTGGAGGGTGATTTAGGGGGGGGAGGGTTTGCAATCCTTGTTTACTGTCAGATCAAGCCCTGCATGTGACAGTATGATATCCTCATCCCCCTGCAAACTGCCAGAGGAGCAGGTTTTGGTGTCATGTTAACACAGCCATGAAAGTAAGAATCAAGTTTCTTTTCGAAGGAGCTGTGGGTGCATGAGTAAACATGGCAAGGCACAAAAAAAGGCAGGAGTAGATCTGTGCAGATGCATTGTTCACCAGGCTTCACACAATGCGGATAGGGAGTTGATACTACCCCAGAATCTGTGACGCTCTTTGCAATCACATTGCATTGTGTTGTGCAAGCGAACATTTTGGAAACAGTTTATGTACAAGAGATGTTGAGAGAAAGAACATGAAGTTTCTGTACTCCTAGCTGCATGGTAAGACTTTTGTTGCAGCTTTGAGAGGCATCCCTTTAAAATTCCTCTAAATAGCTGCAACGGGAGGGAAGGAAGAGAGAAGCCTGCGTAGATGAAGGATTTGGTTTAAAGCCTGCATAAAAAGCCCTGGATTCACTGATGTGGGGAGAAATTCACTGCAGTTGCTTAAGACTTGATGGGTATATCTCCCTGGGGCATGAATGTGTCTTGTCCCAAAGATATTATCTTAACATTGCCTGGATAGCACAGTGATATGGCTTAGCCTTACTTTTATTACTGAAAATAAGTTCTGTCAGAAGCACAGCATGGTAAACTTGGGCTAAAGGAGCTGCTTGCACAAAGCAAATGAACCTCACTATGGCTTGAGATTTATACATGAATATTTTGTGGAAAAGTTTATGTCAGTTGGGATCTTTTGCCCTCCAGCAGTGGGTTGTGGCAAGGTGAGAGGGCAGGATAAAGGGAAAAGTTGACTGTGTGACTGGAGCCACAAAATCCATGTACTTCCCCTGGTTTCCCCACTTACTTTCTTGTGTGACCTTGGGGAAAAGAAAGTTCAACTTTGCATACCTCATATCCTCTTCTCTGTTGAATGGGAATGATATTAGCAACCTGCACAGTGGAGAGGTGGCAAGGCTTGATTAGTGCCTCAAAACATGCTTGACATTTTTGAGATTTGTGAGATACTGTAGGTTTGAAGAGTTACTTTTTTTCCACACTGTACAGTAACCACAGATGTGGGAGCTTTCCCTCCCTGCTCTGGGAGAGCAGTAATGGAAGGCAGGAAGGGAGGAGAAGTTATGGGTCAGGACTGAGATACAATGATGGAATTATGAGGGGGGGGACCAGGGAGGATAAAAGGAACATATTGTTCACACCACTAACTGATGCAAGACAGTGGACGTAGCCTGCGTACAGACCAGCATACATGATTTCTTAATCCATTTTAAACTATTTTTGCCTTTCTTCCCAGTGTCATTATTACAAATAACCACAGCATTATTGGCCTCAATCCTGCAGATTCATGGTGCTCAGCAGGGAACATGAGGTTGGCCTCCAGCAAGGGTGTGATTGGAAGCAGTGAGCTTCAGAGGGGGAAAGCTGGGTGTAGCTCCCTGCCTCACACAGAGGTCCTCCTCCCCTGCCAGGCTGGAGAAGAGGAGGGATGAAGGAAGAGCCCTGTCTTCAAGAGGAATGGCTGTACACCCGGCCTGATTCAAGCTCTGTGCCTCCATGCCCAGTCTTCCCCCTGCAGCAGGTAGAAATCATGAGGCTGCTGAAAGCGGTCAGCTCAGTGGTGAAGAACTATCCAGATGGTGCTGAGATCCCAACCAACTCATTGTGGTTCATCTGTGTATGTGTGCAACACGCCCCACTTGTGCTGGGCAGTCAAGTGTTGACCTGCATGTAGATAATGCACGTTGCTGCAGACTACAGCAGGTAATCACCACTGCGCTGCCACCTAGCCCTCCTCCATGGTAGCCAAAATAGTGGCTGGCTGTCCTTAGACAGCAGCAAACCTCAGAATAAGTGCCATGACAAACCTCCTTACTCAAGGCAAGGAGGTGTTCAAGTTGGGTGATGTGACTGAAGAGCCAGGGTTTATTCCCTGGGGAAAGAGCAGCATAGATGAGTGAATGCACCATGAAAGGGGCTGCACAGGAGCTTTGTTAATGGTGAAGGAGCAGCCAGACACACGCTCTGTTAGTTATTTTTGAGGAGAAGGAGAGAAGGGAACAGAGAAGACCTCAAGGCACTTCTCATTATTCCCTGTAAAGGTGAAAAAATGACATGGGTGGGCATCTCTGCATTAGCTGAAGCAGCAGCTGAGCTGTCACAGCACCAGCATTCATGTCAGCCTGGCACAGGATGGCTTCCCATGATCCAGCCCTGCCCACAGGCAGGGGAGCATCCTGAAAAGGCTGTTGTAGCTGCAGTGCAGATGGGCTGCAAAGCCATGGGAGTGAGCCCCCTCACACTGGTGGAAGAGAAGGTTGGTTTTGCTTGGTTTAGAGCATTGTTTTCCTCTCCAGCTGGTTCAGAGAAGGGTGAGTTTTCCGTGGTCCTGCACAAAAGGGCACAAAACATGCAAAATACTGTTCCAGCCATTTGGTAGCACTGTACATGCCCTTTGCTTTCTTGCTTTGCACTGGTGTACATGTGTACAGGGAAGGAGAAAGAGATTTTTGCAGATCTGCAGTGCAGAAGAACAAGTTTCTGGATGTATTTTCCAGCCCCTTTTCATATCCCTGGCAAAAAGTGTCAGCAAGACAATGTCTAGGAGCTTCATGCCATGAGGAACAGGCTCCATTTTCAGCATAAACCTTTTGAAGCATTGCTTTTATCCAAATCCTTTGTCCTGACTGCTTTATACTGTCAGGAAGGTTCCTACTACAGATTCTGTTCCCATCTCGGTCCCGTCAGGGCACACATGACCAGTTTGATTCAGTGGCAGGACTTGGCTTGAGTGTTATAAAGATGCTGAGCAATTTTCTTATAATTACTTTTAATAATCATTGCCAGCTGGTTGTCATAAGTTTTTTTTTCTACTTACACTGCTCTGTGCCAGCAGAATCTACACAAAGGAACTTGAAATTGGGATGGCTGGGTAAATAATTAATCATGGAAAACAGGAAAATTTGGAGAAGACAGTCAATAATTACAGAACAGCTCCTAAGGGGTGAAATCTATTTTTCTGCACCTACCTGATCTGAGAGGTTTTAATCTGCAGCAGGGGTGGTTGTTTCCATCTTTATCCAAATGCACACATCCAGAAGCACCTAGGAGGACTGCTTGACCTGGCACACACACATTTCTCTGCCTTTCCCTTCGCAGTCGCAGTGTGTTTGTGCAAACACAGCTGTGGTGCTGCAGCAGGCACAGCCCTGGGGTCCTCAGCCTTGTCAGACAGGACCCCGGATATGTTCACAGGACTGAGAAGGGTCTGATTCAGTCTCTTTTCGTGTTTTCACTTTATTTTTACATTTCCTTCCTCTGCTGTGCATGCGGCCACACTCCACACCTCCAGCCGCACTGGAGGGATGCGGGAAGACGGTTACCTCCGCAGCAGGCTGCCAGCCACGCAGTCTACAGGCAAACAGGCAGGAAGAGCCGGGGAGCTGTGCAGCCAGCACCCACACCCGCTGCCATTTAAACTGCTCAAACCAGCTCATCACTCTGCAGCCAGCCTGCCTCAGCTGCTTCTTATTTTACTAGAAAATGTCACGCTTTGACTCAGAGCTAGATGCTATGGGGATGAGCTTTCCACGCATCCAGCTGGTCCTAGCCCGCCATTCCTATGCCAAATGTGCAGGATTACTGCAGTCTGTGCTTGCAAGGCGCTCTGGTGGGATGCTATCAGTGCTCTCTGTGCCTGCTTCCCCACACGTCTTCAGCTGTCGTAGGGAAGCAGCCTTGTGAGTGTCCCCCCGTACTAGAGGAGCTCTCACAAACCCCAGCAAAGTGCTCATCGTCTTTGGAGACCACCGTCCTGCCTTCCTGCTGGGTGGGAAGCTGCATCACCTTGCAGGTAGCAAAACCAGAGACACTAAATTTTGACAGCAAGTGCAGGCGCTCAATGTAGTCTGTTTTCAGCAGCTCACTTTTTTTGCATGGCAAATCTCTACTTAAAATGCAGTCAGGCCAGATGTTGATTTTCAGCCTACTGCAATGGGATGCCGTAGACTCCAAGCGCCTTGCTCCCCACAGAAGTCTTGCAGAACTTTTTGTCTTTTCTTTAGGTGCTTCTTCTCCTGGGTGAAATTGTGCCTTTAATTTGGCTGCTGGTAGGTCTTCCCACTTCTGCAGCAGTCCAGCGCAGAGGCCAGCTCATGGCTGTGCACTACTGTCCTCAGTCCTGCTCGTCCTGACATGTTCAGCCAAGGCAGTAGGATTTCAGCAATTCTCTGTCACCTCTGCCAACCCAGGGTGCAGAGACACCTCTGAGGCTTCTTCAGAGAGGGGATCTGTGATGCTCTGAGAACTTGCACTGTTGCCATGCTCAGCAGAAGAGCGAGGCTGACATTTCTTTTCCCTTTCCTCCCACATGCAGGGAGAGGCAACTAACCCCTGGCTTAGTGCATGATAAGTACACTTTTGGGGAGCATTGGACTGGGTACGTTACTGCTTTTCTGTGAGACAGGAAGCCTGCTTTGTTGCTTGGTACATGCTCCAGGACCCTGGCTCCACTGTCAGTGGCTAAAATGCAGTTTTCACTTTTGGTTCGGCTTTTGGGACATCAGAGCTGGTGGTGTGTCATCCTCAAATGGTTATAAGTGGGGAGGTTGCTTGACTCTTTCTTTTGGACAAAGAATATTGCTTTGGACAAAAATATTTGCTTGTCTTAGAAGAGTCTTATGTTCTATTCTCCTCTCTGGTGATGCAGTGAGGAGAATTAGCCCCATCTCTACCTGGTATGCTTCAGACTAACCTTGTAGACATCAGAGAGCTGTGGCAGCTGTGTTGAACATGCAGAAGCATCAAAAGGCTTTGCCTAGACTCACATACACAAGTACTCATCCAATTTTTCTTTTCCTTACATCTTCTCTTTCTGATTTTTGCACTGGTAGTTTGTCCTGGGGTTGTTACTGCAGCTACATCTGTGGCATATGATAGGACATGTAGGTGCCTCTGATGAACACCTCCAGTGCAATGCTTATTTCCAGTGCAGTGTCAAGCACCACCATTGCTTTGGCTTTCCTCTATATGTAGCTCCTTATCCCCCTTGCTGCAGTTTTACTTTCATCTTATCACCTCCATTTCACTGGCTCACCACATTAAAGTAAGTTTCTCTTCTGGAAATCAGCAGTGACCACAGCTTTGTGACTGCAATGAGCTTTCCTTCATGTTACTGAGATTCTTCTCTATAACATTTTTTTTTCTCTTAGATATTCCAGCAAACATGCCAATAAACTATTTAGTTCTTCCCTGTTAGTGACAATTACATCTCCCTTGTGCCAAGTGAATGAAGCGCTGCAGTGAGCAACCTTCTCAGGGATATGTTAATAAAGCCATGATGCACACGCTTGTCTTCTCACAGTGAAATTGAATGTTTTCTTGCATATGAATAGTCCTGTACTCCAGATACAAAAATACCAGTGCCCCAGATCTGCCTGTATCTTTCTGTGACCTTTCACAGGCATACCTATGCTTTGATATAGCCAAAATTACTGGAAATGTGCTTCTGCCTTCTGGATAAATGGAGAAGTGTAGATTCCCTGGCAATGAGTTCAGTGGCGGTTTTCCTCCAGCACTGTATTCACTCACACTTTGCTCTTTAATACTTTAAAAGTTGCTGTGGTTTTTTTTCTATCTCTCTAAACCAAGTGGATGGGAGCCTCCAATCAGTTGTTTGGCAGATGTTAACCAGAATCAGAGGTCCCAGCTCAAACAGCCACAGAAGGAAAATTCAATGAACAAGAAATCAATACCAATAGCTGTGAGACACAGCAATGCACAGACCTGTTTGAACTGATCAAAAAACTCACAGGAGAAAAGGTGACATTCTCCTAGAGTAGAAGTAGCGATGTCTCTCATTCTTTAAGGGGTTTTGGTTTCTTATGTTTGCTCTTGCAAACATTGATTTCTGCTTTTTACATTTCTTTACAACATTTTCCCCTAGCTGCTTCTTTATATTTTGCTGCTGGTTTGAAAAACTGCATTTAAGCTGAAGGGTTTTCTTCTGTATTTTTTTTCTCTGCACTTTTTTCCCTGTTAAGCCAGAGAATGAGCAAGGTCGTAGAACTTCTCTAGAAAAGTTCACTCGCAGTGTGGTAAGTTCCTTTTCTTTTCCCTCCTCCCTCTCCTCAGAGCTTCATTTTCAGTTGGGGGGAATGTGGATGCTTGACTTTTTATTTCATCCTTTATTTTTGCAACTAGCATTTTTGCAGCTTCTTTTTTAATACTGTAGCTCATCTAAATTGTAGCTGTAAAGAAGGGGGGAGGTGGGTGGGCAGGAAGCAGAATTCCATAATGTTCATTCTAGCTTATCATCACTGCAAAAGCAGATTGACTTTTGTCTAGAATTAAATGCAAGGTTGCCTTCTTGCTGTGCTCCCACTACAGTAATTGTTGTGGCTTTTTCCTTGCGCAATGAAGTAGAAGAGCATGGTTCTCATAGCGCCATTGCAGCAGTATCCATATGGTTGTATAGTGCATGGTTAATGATACCATATGCATATACACATCCATATCCACCCACAGCACTGCAGCTGCTTCCTCCATTGCCCCCCTCTGTAAATGCTTATGTAAATAGTGATGAGCAATACCCTTTGACTAGTTCATGATGCTGATACCAGAAACTGAGTACAGTAACAGTAAGATGACACTGTTAAACCTTTATGTAAGTGGACAGTGGGATCTCAAGGGCAGTCAACAGATGTCCTTTCCTCTCTTGTCCTTTACCAGTGTCCAAACTCCAGACAGTCCTTCCAGGTGGAGGAAGCTGGTCCAGCTGGGAGGGGATGCTGCAGCACAGGGCAGCATTGGGCATCTGCCAGGGCTGCTTCTCTCCAGCCCCCCAAGCAGGACCCCAGAGCTTGGGTAATACCCACTTGTTCCACTTGCTTTCAGAGATCTGCATGTGCAGCAGATTCTCCAGGGAAAGGGGAGAGCAGGGAGAGGGAGCAGGACCAGAGGCAGATGCTGCAAGTGGGGTGGAGGAGCAAGGATACTGGACAGCACAGGGTGGGACAGACAATGCGCATGGGGCAGCACAGAGTAATCACAGATCTGGAGCTGAAGATGCAGCAATGGCTCAGTGAGGAATTACTCTTGTGTTGCTTAATATCAAATAGTACACTTTGACTCGGTTTGTCATATGGTTTTGGCATAATGCTATGGTCTTCATGTATCACCCATCATTAGTTGCAAGGTGATACTGGGAAAGCAGACAGTCATCAAGTGGTTGATTCCCATAGAAGCTACTGTACAGAACAATATTTCATAGAAAATTCATAAACCTTGTTATGGCTTTACAACAGCTTTATAATGAAGGCACGCTAGACTGGACAGGGCCTTGAGCAACCTGGTCTAGTGGGAAGTGACCCTGCCCATGACAGGGGAGTTGGAACTGGATGATCTTAAGGTCCTTTCCAACCCAAACCATTCTATGATTCTGTGATTCTATGTATATATACGGTACATATATTTGCATTTGTGTGTGCATGTATATATATTTATATATACACTAGATACATACACATGTCATATAAATACAAAATATTTGTACATACAGATAGAAAAGGGGAAACTGCTCAGGTAAGTGTGAGCTGTTGTAGAGCAAATAAGCCTATAGGGGTTCTTTCTGATGCTGTCATGCCACTGCACAAGCAAACCCAAATGTAACACGCAGAGCTTTGTAGTATATCCACTGGCAGACTTCCTGGGGAATGTATTTATATAGCTAATGCATATGCACACATTTAAAATATGTTGATACAAAATATATCACTATGCCCATCTGCATATTTACTGCTTTCTAAGAGTCTGCCAGAAAGAGGAATAGGCAAGATTTTTTTCAAAACAAACTATGCAGAAATATTTACACCGAGTGGTAAATTCTGCTCCCAGATTTGCCAAATACATGGAAGAGTAACTCTCACTTTACTAGACTGGCTGGGTTTATAGTAACACAGCCAAGGACATATTTTTCTCTTGCATTTGATTTGAAGGGTAACTTGACAAGCTGTGTTTGGGATGGTAGAATTATAATCTAAGTACCTGTAAAGAAAATCATTGTAGATTGGTCGGCTTTAGTTCATTGATGTTTTACTAGCAAGTATACTGTAAACATTTTCTTTCATTTTTCTTAATACAGATATAAAATGTCATCTTCCAACGGCATGGTAGCTAACAGAACTAGGAAAGGTCTGAATTTTTCATACTTTGCATTATGGCAGTTTGTCACTACCGTCAGATGAGAAAATAGTCACTGTTGGCACGTCATAATGTCCTCAGAGAACAGCATTACCGAAGTTATAACTTTCTGGCATACTCAGAAGACTAAATTAAGACAAAGTTAATTCTGCATGCTGTAGTTCTCCAAAGTGCACTGCAGTTCCCTAGCTGTGTAGGAATAGAGCAATGCAGCAGCCTTCATTCCCAGAGCTCCACTATGCTTTAGTGATTCCTCGTTACAGGATCACATATTCTAGCTGACCCTGCAGCGCACTGAAGTTAAGCATATGCTTAAAGTTTGGCTGGAAAATCTTTGGCAAGATTTTGGTGATGATTCATCTTTTACTTCCAGGTCTTTTCAAAGTACAAGCTGATACCTCTATGCAATGGCCAAGAAGGGGGTTGTGCCCACCGCTGGTTGGGTCCTCCTGTAGTAAAGGGTATAGTTTGCAGTGCCTCCCTGTCTGGTTTCCCTTTGGAGCAAGGGACATCTGTCTGACCTAGTGCCCAACATGCCAGACATCCTCAACCTCCTCTGCTTACCTGCATGAAGAGTGGCATCAGTATGTGTTTCCTGGAAGCCTGCCACAACAGCCTGGACAGTAGTTGTGTAGTGCCAGGACCAAACATCATGGTCATCAGTCATCTGGTGGACACCAAAGGGCCGCTGCTGGAGCAGAGGGGCAACGCATTTCTTTTCTCTCCTGTTAAGGCTTTGAAGAGTCCTCAAAAATACATGGGTAGCACAGTGGTAGGATAGGTATCACCCCTTTGGCCCTAAGCTGGGTTCCCATGATATGAAATCACAGGTACAAATCTAGACTGGTTCTTCCATGATCTCCATGGGGGCCCTGTGGAAGGGTCAATCTCAGTGAGCGGCAGATCTGACAGTCTATTCCATTGGAGCACTTACTAATCCACCTCATTTAAAAAATGATGGCACTGCACATAGTGGCAGGTTTATCTTATTACAATTTTCCTTTTGAATACAGCAAAGATTGACATTATGAAAGCAGAGTTAGCCTGTCGTCTCTCCCAAGTGAAGATAAATGGCATCATAAAAATCAGACATCATGTATCATATATGTTATAAATAATACCTGGTATTGAGGTAATAACTTAATTTTAAAGACACACATACACACAAATCCATATATCTACATCTCTCTCTTCTGTCATATTTGATCATCTTACTAATTAAAAGGAGGCTGCTATACTATTTTTAGCCATGCAGTCTCAGCCTAGCTGTTTAAACCACTGTAGTTCCCCATCTGCTTTAGAAATGATTTAATAATCAGATAGGCAGAAGCTTAGTTCTCATAAACTGAGATGATCCTTCAGGGACGGGAGTAGAAGGAAAATATATTTTAATAAGTGCACTTAGAGAAGCCACTGCTGCTTTTGCCTCACAAAGGAAGCCACCAAGTCTCTGCTTAACTTGTGCTGGTGAACATATATATATTTAATAAAGGGGGAAACAGGAGGGAGTTCCGTTGTTACGTCTTGCAGCATCTTGAGTATTATCTCTAAAAGCAGCAATGGTCACTTCAGTAATAACAGGGATTTACCTACAGATACCAGCCTTGGTAGGTAAATTAGATAAATCTGGACCATCATACTCAGAGCTGAATCCAAACTTTTCTAAAATTGCTATATTCCAAGGAAGGAATTTCCCATGTAAGGAAACTGGCGTTAAAATTCCTGACTCAGTATCAGGGTGGTGACTCAAAGATGAGAAGATCTCTGTGTTTTATTCCCAGTTGACACTTCTAAGAACAAGAGGTGTGCTCACATGTACAGCTTTTGAGAGGATTAGAGCTCTCAGTCTTCAGGCTTTCAAGGACAGGAGGGTGGCCAGAGCAGTGATACAGTTTTTGTTCAGAATTTTCACAACTTCTGTCTGAACCAACTAACTTGGCCTAGTGTTTTATATAATGTTACCATAGAATGATTTGGGTTGAAAGGGTCCTTAAAGCTCATCTAGTTCCACTCCCCTGCAGTGGGCAGGGACACCTTCCACTAGACCAGGTTACTCAAAGCCCCATCCAACTTGTCATTGAACACTGCCAGGGATGGGGTCAGCCACAGCTTCTCTGGGCAACCTGTGCCAGGGCCTCATCACCCTCATAGTAAAGAATTTATTCCTTATATCTAATCTAAATCTATCCTCTTTCAGTTTAAAGCCATTCCCCCTTGTTCTATCACTACTTGCCCATGTAAAAAGTCCAGGAACTACCTGAAGAAGGTAAAGAACTTTTTGTGCCTCTCTTTCTGAGGACAAAGAGAATAGTTGCACTACCTGGGAGAAATGAGAGGCATTTGCTAGCCAGAGCCTCTTGTGAAACTCAGCCCAAGCAAAGGCAGCACCTGGCAGCTCCAGGCAAAAGCAACATCCCAGCCAGAGAGTGCTGCACAGGACAGGGTGGGCAAATATGCAAATGCCAGACTTTGGACTGGTTCTTGGAGTCTGTGGGAAGTCCTTTTCCCTGTGTTTTCCCTGCCTTCTTCCTCAAGCTATAACAGTACAGCACAGTGTATACAGAGGTGTGAAGTGCACAGGCCTGTCATGGCTGCCTACATCCTACACTTGCACGTGGTGAGCTACAGGCTTCTCTTTAGCTTTCATCGTTACAGTTGGTAAAGAGTATAATACTTAACAGGAAAAGGAGCCCTCCTGTTAAGTCTTAGAGGAAATGTAAGTATGTCATGAGACTAAAAGACTCAGATTTATTTTAAAGTCAGCATAGTAGAATACATCAGATATAGAGGTGTGAAATGTAGCAAGCAGTCAGGTATGAAAAAGCAGGGAGCTTTTCCAAGTAGTAAATTCAATTTAGTGCAGAAAGAGAATAAAGTAGAGATGGTCTGTGTCTGA